AAAAAGAAATCGTTTAGATTTTTTTTTAAAAAATTAGGATTGGCATGATATACAACTTCTCTGATCACCAGGCAGCTATTTTTTAACTGCAACATTTCGATTCCATTGAAACAGTAAGTCGTATTTATTTATATTAAGTTAATGTTGGAAAATAAAAGCAAATAAAAAAGAACTGCAAATATAACCTAAATGAAAGCAGGTCAATAATTAACCTACATTCATTGCATCTAAACTGGTCCAAATTTCTAATTTAGCCACCCATTGGGTTACTGCATCGACCATCACGGGAACTGGAAGAGGATCATTCCATTGTAAGTATAAAATGTACCACTGATATGAAAACGCAAGTTTGTTGATGTGACAACATCAAGGCTATCATACTGATTTCTTTTTACATTTTCAGGCAACCGGCCTCTTGTAGTGGGGTGTTCAAAATGCCTCATGTATTTGATCTGTGTGTGTCTCTAAACAAATCTTGTTACTACCATTTCTTTGAAAATTTTACAAGTATATTCCCCTTTGTTCTTAAATTTACTTTATAAATCAGTTTTAAAATACCCCCGGTAGTTAAAAAACCTAGAAGGTAACAAGGAAGTATTTTTTAGCTCACCTCGTCCAAAGACTTGGCCCAATAGGGAAATTGTTTTAATCCTAAAAGAGCCTCCTTCATCTGTACCATTTAAGAGATTTTATCCAAATTTGGTCCAGAGCATCATTTAACAGAGTGTAGTCCCCCTGAGCAGAGGGGAAGTGTCCAGTAGAGGATACTTCTGCAAGCATGGGGGTCGGCCTTTCAACCAGCTCAAGCAAATCATCCAACGACTGTTGTATGTTGTCGACGTGGTTTGCCGACAAATACGTTGAGATACGCCCACAATTTGTTTTCGATCCTTGCAGCAGGTTACGCAGCTGAAGTCTATTCGGGTTTTCCTGTATCCATTGTCTTGAAACTGTCAAAATTCGTGAAATCGCTTGCAAAACACCATCTACCTCTGCCGCAATTTTAATATTCGAATTTTCTAACATCAACATCCGGTAACCGCTGTCATGCGCAGAGAAAGGAAACCTTTTTGGTACTTTCTGCAAAAGAGTTCCTGTATTTCACTTTTAAAGTTTACAAATATTTTCATTACTTAATACATACAAATTCAAAAATGTGTTTTGCCTTTATGTGAAGATTCTTTGCACTTAAGTGGAAAAACGACTTTTCACTACCCATTATGTGAAGATTTTTTGCACTTAAGTGGTAAAAAGACTTTTTTTGCACGTAAGTGGAAACACTTCTTTTTTTGCACTTAAGGTCATTGGAGTGTATTGATAAACGGAAACAGGAAGTACATCCCTAGTTGAAAATCCAATGTAGTGAGTCAGTATCACAATTTCCGCAAATTCTAATGTTTAATGTTAAACTGATGAATATTGTATGTTTATTATTGACAGAACAGTGTGTTCTCTCAATATTAAAGTATTTCAAAGCAATCCAGGCATCAATTCAGTGGGGTTTTTTATCAATGAGTCACATGTGTCCATTTTTCTGTACTTCAGGAACCCGGCTACCTATTTCAATACTGTGAAGTTTTTCAAGAACGATAACTCTTACCTGCAATTACTATGTGTATATGGTTTTATTATAAAATGTCAATTTTTATATCGTGTATAGAGAATTAATTTTACACAATTTCAGCATTTATTAAATTGATATACATTAATGCAATACTAATATATGTCAGTATCATTTTTATTGACATTATTTTGTAAAAATATTGTGTCTTTCATTTTTTTTTCAAAATTCACTA